CCGATTGCCCAAATTCCCACGACCAAGCGTAACCAAATTTTTGATCGGGCCTGTTTACGACTATAACCCGACCGCTATCCGACTGTACACGACTTTAACTCGACCATTTACGACTCCTTAATGACTCCATCACGATTTCAACCCGACAATTAATTGAATACATATTCGATTAGTCCAACCAATTTACGGTCTCTACACGATCTTTACTTGACTAGGATGTACAAGTACCCGGCCACGTCCACTCTGTGTGTTTGTTAGATGTATTTCTATTTGTATCCATCTGATGAGTTAAGCCTTTTTCAACTGATTTTTTATAGTTCGTTCTTATGTTGTACTGTTACACCACTGTACCAGGTTAGGGGAGGGTTGGGATCCCGCTAACATGTTTAACCCCACCACATTCTGTATGAATGTGCCTGTCCCAAGTCAGGAGCCTGTAATTCAGTGGTTGTCGTTTGTTGCTGTGTTACATATTTGTTTTTCGTTCAAGGCCGTACGGTGACATATAGCTGTTAATTTCTGTGTCATTTGGTATCTTGTGGAGAGTTGTCTCATTGGCAATCATACCACATCTTCTTTTTTATATAGCTAGACCAAATCAACTTTGCTCGATCTCAGCCCGATCTCGACAATACCAGATCGACCTGATCGTATAGGGGTCGTAGGGATAGTCGGGAATTGGTTGTGTATATATACATTGTCAGTATCAAAACGTCTGAATTTTTATGTACCGTCGCAGCGGAGGGGTATTAAGTGTTACCCTTGTCCGTACGTAAGTACGTACGTCCAAAAAATAGTTTCAGTTCTCTTAACTTTAGTTTTCCTCAACCAAATTTTATTAAACTTATACACAATGCTTATTACCAAAAACACAGATCATATTCGAATTTGGGTGGCGTCGTTTTTACCGTTCTTGAGTTATGCCCCTTTGTAACGTTATATGCAAGCGGAGTCATTATCTATGTCCCATGGACATATTCTCTATTTATTTGGTTATCATTCAGTAGTTCACGGAAGGTCTGAGTAAATTCATACATTTAAAATATCTACAAGACAGGTTAATAACTGTGACTGAGCTTGATGGGAGCGTAGAAGAGGAACAGGAAGGCGTAGACAGCAACGGGCAGCGTGCAATCTACATAAGATAGTGGCTAATTTACACGGCGATCACTGTATGGGTAATATGAGAAACTGTTGCAGGAGTTCAACAGAGAGGACCAAAATGGTTATAAAATCTTCCTCAGAGTGGACGCTGATATGTTATTGGAGTTTTTAAACCGTATCTCACACAAAATGGAATACATAACATTAATTGTAAGTAAATTGACATGTTTATGCATGATTGATTATTTCATCCGAATGGAAGCTGTTATACATGGGTACTCGGAAGAGGTGAAACCAGCCGTCGGGACATCCTAAAAGTGGCAACAGATTGCCGATGACTTCTAAGCCAAGTGGAACTTTACTCATGCATGTGGAACACTGGATGACAAGCACTTGAGGATAAAGTGCACAAAGGACTCTGGTTCACTGTACTGCAACTACAAAGGATTTTTCACAATCACACTTCTGGCCCTCGTCGACGCAGACTACAAATTCATATGGGTCAGTGTTGGTGCTAATGGAAGTGCGTCCGACGCTCAACTCTTCAATCATTCTGAACTAAGGACTTTGATTGAGGAAAAGCCCGGCGATAAGAAGAACACCCCATACCTCATGATTGAATAATATGATGCATTCCCATTGAGAACCTGGATGAAGCTATACTCTAGACGTAACCTAAACAAGACCAACTTAAGCACTATTTTAATTCACAAGCAGGTGAATTCAGTTGAGTGGCAAGACAATATGATTGATGTCATTCACGTTATTATACAGTTACTTGTAGCTTCACCGTAAAACCGCTGATGTATTTATTTAAGTATGACATCTTGTTCTCATGTGATAATTTAAAATATAATTTGAATCGTTTGTATTTTCTTATTTATAAAATTACTGCTCTTTTCTTGAGAATGACAGCACCAAATGAGGCTTGTCACCAGATTGGTACTTATGTAAAGCAATACGACGGGTGCAACGTGTATTTGTTGGGTTTTGTGTTGCTAATTTTTTAGTTTTTTTTGTATGATGTGTTATGTGGACTGCTGTTTGTCTTATCGTCGTTTTTTCGTTTTTCGCCATGGCTGTGTCGGTTTGTTTTCGATCTCTGGGTTTGATTGTTCCTTTGGTATCTTTTGCCTCTCTTTTAAAATTTGTAAAAGTACAGCCAAGGACTGAACACGGAGGAATTTTTGCGGAGTTAATCTTTTGTTACAGTTTTAAAAAAACAGGGACAATATATTTTTGCGGAAGCAAGTTATGAGAGTTAATCAGATCTGCACACCCTTTTTTATAATCTTGCAGCAGTCACGTGCACTCGCGATAACCGAGTAGAGATCGAAAAATGATTGAATTTGGTCGAGGTGAGATCGAGTATTGGTCGAGTAGGTCTGGGATAAAAATATTATATTAGTCGCAGTGATCGTAAAACGATCGGGCATCGAGTTAATCTGGACCACAGATCAAGCAGGATTGCGTTGATCGAGAGAGGATTAGAAATTAGTCGAGTAAAGGTCGAGATGATCGAGTACTGATCGGTAAAACATTTGTATGCCGACCAAACTCGATCTCTACAAGATCCTTTCTCGATCAATTCTACCGCTACTCGACGAATTCCCGATCTCTTCTCGAGTGACTGGCTTCTCAATCCTTACTCAAATTTTTTTGACATGTCAAAAATTCTCGGGTAGAAAGTCAGATCGATGACGAGCAAGGTAGACCACCCCCGAACAATCTTGTCGAACGAGTTAGACCAGTTTCCTGATCGCTTAATCTATCTTGATCGGGCTTGATCGAGTTGATCTGATCGACAGTGTGAACCTAGCTTAAAAGTATGCATAATTTGTGTCGTAACGTCAGTTTTGGTCAATTTTCAAAATTCTTTACAGTCTTTAGCATAATTTATTTTGGCCGTTACCCAGGATCCAAAAAGTGTTTGTGCCTAGGGATTAAATCTCTTCATTGGCAACTTTTGGTAACAGAACATTTTGGATCTTAGGTTGCGGCCAAGGATTTCCCCAAGATTTTAAGTCCGAAAATGCACAAAATCATCGTATTTTGACAATATATCCAAAACGTGCTGATTTTGAAGCCAAGGATGTACACTGTTGACGAGACTTATTCTAACATAGAAATATGGCTTTTGAAATAGATCAAATTTAAGAACCAAATTATGCCATTTTGTAATGTTCTGATAAAGTTTAAATTCATGGTCATATTTGCCTTCAAGTGAACCATGTCCAAATTTGAAGTTGAAGATCATTGACAAAACGAAAATTCTGATAAAATTGTGCCAAATACGGCTGAGGTTATTTATGTTTGGGATAGTAAAACCTTATTGTTTCGAATAATTGATACTTTTTATAGACATTGAATTCACAGCAAATGAACGTATCAATGATATGACTGTCTCCACATTAGAGAAACAATGCATTCGATAACCTCGGGGGCGAAACGTCCACCAGCAGTGATATCAACACAATACGAGAAATGCAATAAAGCATCGACTATTCATCTTTTGTTGGTACATGGTGTTTTCCTTATGCAAACAGGAAAAGTAACGTCAAAATGTTTGTGTTTAATCAAAGCGCCTTGTGTGTCCTTAGCTTGCATTTTCGATAACTTCTAAATTGTTTCTAGTATGTACGAAAGCCTATTAGGGTCACACAAAAAAATATTTATCTCGTAATTACGAGATAAATATCTCGTAATTACGAGAAAACTATCGCGTAATTACGAGATAATTATCGCGTAATTACGAGAAAACTATCGCGTAATTACGATATTATCATTTTCATCTCGTAATTACGAGATAATTATCGCGTAATTACGAGATAATTATCGCGTAATTACAAGAAAACTATCACGTAATTACGAGATAAGATTTTTATCTCGTAATTACGAGATAATCATCGCGTTATTACGAGAAACCTATCGCGTTATTACGAGATAAGAAGTTTTTTATCTCGTAATTACGAGATAATTATCGCGTAATTACGAGATAATTATCGCGTAATTACGAGAAAACTATCACGTAATTACGAGATAAGATTTTTAACGAGAAAACTATCGAGTTATTACGAGATAAGAAGTTTTTACGCGATTATTATCTCGTAATTACGCGATAGTTTTCTCGTAATTACGCGATAGTTTTCTCGTAATTACGAGATAAGAAATGATTATCTCGTAATCTCGCGATAGTTTTCTCGTAATAACGCGGTAATTATCTCGTAAATACGCGATAGTTTTCTCGTAATTACGTAATTACGAGATAAATATTTTTTTTTTTACCCTAATAGGCTTTCGTAAGTATGTATCGTCTATGCCAATATTTTTAGCTCAACTATATCGTATAGAATGTATCGTTGAAGTAAAATACAGTGCAGTAGATTTTTGTTTCTCTTTCATTCAGTGGTGTCTTTGATAGCGTGTAGTCAGCCTCCCTACATGGACCAATTTGACAAAAAGTTTGCAAATAATGCGTACACTACATGAATATAAATTTGCTGTCGTACAGTTAATGTAATTTTTCACGTAAAATGTTTTCATTCACAAATTGCAAAGTATGACACACAAACTATTGCCTATCTACCAACATTTGCACGTTTTCTGCTTGGTTCTATTTACTGTATTATTGTACGTCGATTCGTTGACTTCATAACCGTATGGTTACAAACCTGGCTGTTACAGTTGTAATTTTTGAAGGAAAACTATGTTTTCTCTAAACCAGACGGCGACTTAAATTCTATATGCAATATTGAATAATTATCTGTGATAACTGGATCTATAGGAAGGTTTTACCACAACAAATCTCTAATCATGCAAAGCAAAAGTGACTAATATATTTTCTTGTCAAATTGAACTATTATGAAAATTTTAAAATAACGCAATTCTTATTTCAGGGAACGTCTTGTTCAATTAGATGGAGCGGGTGTTGCAAATCATCATAAATATATTTATATTCTTAAAGAAACAAGGAATAGGACAAAAACATTCTCCCGTCAACACAGTGCTTCAAGTATGGATTGGCATTGTTTATAAAAAGGAAATTAGATGCTCGTTTTGTGATGACGAAGGCATAGCGGTGGGGTATTGCACAGACTGTGCAAGACTTATCGATCAACAGTGTGTTAAGTTCCATGACAAAATAGTTGACTTGCAAGATCACAAAATTATAAATTTCAGTAGAGATAGTCGTATGTTTAGAGTCAAAGAATTTGCACCTAAAAAGTTTTGTCTACATAGTAGGCAAATACGTCTGGAATGTACTGATTACTGCACTAACTGTTGTGTTTTGGTATGTAAGAAATGCCTGAAACATCACACGACGAAAAACCATTACGTGAATTCAGTATATCACTTGTACGATCTATTAGATCACATACATGACACAAAACGTTTAATAGAAGATATACTTAGATCATCAGCTAACCTGAATCCGAAAGACAGACTTATCTTAACCACAATAATCACATATACTGATATAAGTTTAGGTATAACAAACGATTACAAAAATATTGGCGACGCACCCGTGCCACCAGAGATACAAGACTTGGTAGAGAGAGAAATGACACCTGGTCACGTAACATATTTAAAATGTGAAGCAGTTATTGACAAAGTTAAAGAAATACAAAGAGATCTGCGTTTGCCGTTTATGGATTCTAGACCCGACTCCTCCATCACTGATGATACATCTGATATAATTGGTATACATTGGAAACGGGATAATATTTAACTGGAAAATAAATTATCTATAGACAAATTTACAACAAAAATGAACCCAAGAAATAAAAAAAAAACTGGCTTCTTGTGAACATAATATGTGGTCTAATTGCCAATGAGACATATATGCATCAGAGACCAAATGACCTGGATGTTAACAACTCTAAGTCATCGTAAGGCCTTTAGCATAAACAAATTAAACTCATACCTATAGGTTAAAAGGAAGTAAATAAAGATGATTGGCGCCACCTAGATTTTATATCCAAGATAATAGGTAGAAGTAAATTTATTTTCTGCTGCCCTAGTAATTAGAAATCGAAATTGAAATAGTGAGAAATGAGTGTTGGCCATTGGTGTAGAAATAGCGAGAAATTTAGAGAAAACTCTCTGTGACGAGAAACATTTTCTGTGCCAAATTTAGCAAGGGGTGTTCTTCATTTATACTATTTCGAAAAGTTCCGGAACCGTTCAGTACCATTAAAAAAAATTAAAAAAGCTGCGGCACCATATGTGTTTTGCAATTTCAATTACACCCAAATGAGTTGATAATTCAGATTTCGACATTTTTTTCAATGGATCTTTGATTGGGAAAACGCAGGACCAAAAAAGGCTACCATTGTCGCCTATGTAAATAATTACTTCCTTGTAACCTAAAGCGAAATAACGATTTCTGGCGCATCACTGTATTTTTCGAGATATTTTAGAAATTGAAAAGGTAAATTAATCAGGTACTAAGTGATAAACTGTTTCAGAAGAAAATTGCTGATCGCCATGAAACTATAGTCTATATCAAATTGTTACTGTTTTTTTATTCTTCTGCCTGAGGGGTAGGGTTCATTAGCTTACTGTAAGAACGAGAATTCTGTCAAGGACTCTGTCTTTAATTATTTCTCCTCATCCTCGATAACTTCATGTATTTATGCATATCTAAAAAAAAAAGGGGGGGCTTATTTTTGCTGACGTTAGCGACATTTTTGTATTTTTAATGGTAAAAATGTGCCAAAATGCCCCTAAAATATTAAAATTATGTAAAAAATCAAAGGCTATACATGTTTCTCCTTAGTATCGTCAAATTGAATGTTCTGCACACGGTTCATATAAAACACATAACAGCAATGCTAAATTCTTAGTTTTAACATTTTTATAGTCTATTTCATAAAATATTTTGACTCTTATGCAACGGTGTTCATATATTCGTGATAGAGACATATAAGTTGGACACAGTTATCAAATCATCAGCCTAAAGTCTTTATTAGGCCTAAATCGAACTTTATTAATCAAACACCTCGTTTTAAACATAGCCAAACAGTCAAAATAAGCTAGTCAATGGCCCCAAGTCTGTAAAAAGTAACGTTTTCTGCAAAGGGGGGGGGGATACCTGTAAAGAAAGTCATTTTAAATGGTGAACAATTGTATCTTTAATCCAAAAATTTGAACTTAAGCAGCAGGGGTGTATAGTAATCGACTAATGTAAAGATTGTCCGATTTTATTTCAATATATGTCAGAATATAGTAAGCTATGCGCTAATGGAAATTCTTTAGTATGTTATGTCAAGAGAGACAACTCCATCTGATTATGTATATAACTAATTTCTTGAAACATAACCCATGTGGGGGTTTTAGTGATATAAAATGTCTTATGTCTTATGTCTTATGTCTTATGAATTCTATTTGTTGAAATTTACTTTTGAAAACTTGGAAAATGTCTAGTCAATGAGAATGTTTAATATTATATCAAATTGTTCAAATCACTAACTTAAAGTCTTTTGTTAGTCATTATTTTACGAAAAGTTACTGAAAACTTCGCATGGACAACTTATCCAGAGTCGATGAATCTAAATAATTGTTTACAAAATTATTTGTTTATGTTATCATTTATTATCTTACTTTGTAATATAGTTTTCGTAAGAGGTTTTTCAGACAAATGAGGAAGATTATATTGAGCTGAGTCGGTTTGTAATTTGATTCATTTTTTTTAGAATTTTATTAACATATTTGTTTCCATTGTTTACTATGACAAATTTCACATTATCCAAATTCGTATTTTATCAAATACCAAGAACAATTTATGTTCCGTTAAATCAATCTGTAATTACTAAGTTTAAACAGTGAAAATTTTAAGCATGGTTATAATTCTTTTATATCTAAAGATAAAATTGATAAGTTTTATATTTGGTAGTGCTATAATTGAACATTTGAAAACCGGGAATTTTTATTTAATCCAGATAGCACAGACCCTAAACAAATAATCGGTGATACCACAGACGAACATTTACATGATGATTTAAGTAGCCAGTGCTCGTCCTCCACAGATAGTAGTTATGTGTAAGTAATAAAGTTTCAACATTGTTAGCTTTTTGCCTGTTATATCTAGTTCAGGATTAAAGGATTCCATATTTAGGTTAACTTCAACTGACTGGAAATCTGATAGTCCTGAAGCTTTCAATGCTAATTTCTGTAATAACATACATCAGACACTATCAGAGCTAAAGGTTGAAGCAGCGAAAATGTGCAAAAGTACGCGAAATAAAAATAACGGAAGAGGACTCAAATGCAAAACAACTAAGGATAATAGAATGAGGTTCGATTTTTTCTTTTTGTAAAATTAAACTGTGATAGATGGTGATAATTTTTATATAAATAAATATGTTATAATAATAGTTTTCTGTCAATGTCAAAATATTGAAGAAGAAAAAAGTAAAAAAAAAAGTTGGATTGATCTTGTATCGATTCGGATGCTATAAAACAAAACTTCAGAAGCATTTCATTATCAGTTTAATTTCTTTTCAGAACATGCGAAGATATTGACGAGTCTATTCCAAGTACAGGATTTGGTCCAATAACTGTGGCAAGTCATAGCTGTACAACTGACGATCTTTTTCCAAGTCTACAAAGGGTAAGAGCTTTAAAAGGAAACCAATCCAACTTACTATTTTCTAATATAAAACATTTGGTTAATATCTTCCGATTTTTTTTTTTTTTTCATACCAAAAGTTTTTTTTCAAAACTGCCGATCCATCCTGCGTTGTTCTGATTCTAGTGTACGGAAAAACAAACCCACATTTCTTTAGATTGAGTCACGTGTCTTCCCGGAATGCCTACATTTTGTAAAATATCTATTCCTCGAATGCCAATAAAATAAATTGAACATATGTTGTTTTAGTGATGTGATTCAAGGAATACGCCGGGTATATATAATACATCATATTCTTCATTTTAACAGTAATTACTGGGTCAATAGTCAAAAGTGTAGGCAACTTTCATGATTATAAAAAAAACGTTGCCTACACTTTTGACTTTTGACATAAAAATTCAGGACCCCCAAATGATTGATGATTATACCTTTAAGATTATACCATCACATCTGTTAATATATAAAATGCTTGAATAATTTTTTTATCTCAGTTCTACAATGCTATATTTTCTTGCAGCCTGAAAATGAGAACAATTCAGCAAGGACGATAGAACAAGAAATTGTACATCTACAACAGGCACCACAAAACCAAATAAATTTAGACAGTTTTAATAACTTACATCAATAACTATTAATATGTATAACCAATAGAAACTGGTCAGGAACTTTTTATGTCCCATCTACGATAGAAGTGGGGCAAATTCTTTTCTGTTATGCGCGTTTATTCGTCCCGTATTAATTTTTTTCATTATATTTCAATGTAAGTCGGTCTATTTGTTTCCTACTTGCATGTATGAAAAAGAAAAAATTAAGCCTAACAAAGTTTGTATATTTACCCCTTGGCTAAAGCCAGATATAACAGTTTGAAATGTTTAGAAATACCTAGTGTGGTCAAAATTTCAATCATAGATTACATGGTTTCTTTTTTTTTTAAATTGACCTTGCACTTTTTAACCTTCTTTGAATATCTTTCTAATTGTTATTATTAAGAGGTTCTCTTCGTGTTGGGCATTGACATATTTTAAATTTTGCTTTGCATCAGCATCAGCATTCATGCGTTTCAGGTTCTAATAGCAAAAAAGACTCCAACCATACGTCTTTGAACCCGAATATGGACCTGTTTTATTTTTTTCAAATTTTAAGTGGTTTATGTATGTTTGTGAAAAAAAGGATTATGATTACAGTAGTTGTCGTCTGTTTACAGGAATCTGATTACAGTAGTTGTCGTCTGTTTATGTAGTTCATACGTGTTTCTCGTTTCTCGATTTTATATAGATTAGACCGTTGGTTTTTCCGTTTGAATGGTTTTACACTAGTAATTTTTTGGGGCCCTTTATAGCTTGCTGTTCGGTGTGAGCCAATGCTCCGTGTTGAAGGCCGTACCTTGACCTATAATGGTTTACTTTTATAAATTGTAACTTGGATGGAGAGTTGTCTCATTGGCACTCATACCACATCTTCCTATATCTATATTATGATGTATTTTTGGTACAAAACTTCAGAGTTATAATTTTACCAAATCCTTTTCAAACCGAATACTGGTTTTGTATATATTGTAAATAGTTATTGGTGTTGTTATCTCTGTACTGATTTTATGCATTGCCTTTATGAGAATAAAGATAGATAGCCTAGGTGGTCGAGTTGTCTAGCTCGTCGGGCATAGTGCAAGGCGATTTGGTGCCACGCTATCTCAGTAGCATGAGTTCGAATCCCGGCCAGGGAAGAACAAAAAATTTGCTTCCGCAAATTTACAGATCTATTATTGTTGGGCTGTTGTTTAGACGAATTATATATATATATATATAGAGAGAGAGAGAGAGAGAGAGAGAGAGAGAGAGAGAGAGAGAGAGAGAGAGAGAGAGAGAGAGGTCTATAAAAAGGACCAACCAGCAAATTTACTATGTACCGGATCGTCTAGAATAGACGATACTGTGCAGATCAGGAAAAAATTATACAAGTCTAAAAATTTGCACAACGATACTAATATAAGATGGTATTATACGAAGATATTGTTATTAAATCGTTTTGACAAATATTTCGGCTTAACAAATAGCCTTCGTCGGTGTCAATAATTTTAACAATACTGATTGTAGGTTAAAAATAGATCAGTAATACAGGTAAGTTTTGGTCTATTGATTTTAATCCATAATCTTGAACATCATAATATAAACAAAACTCGATACTCTAATATACGTGACTGTGTATATTTACATTCCAAAATGAGTGAAAAACAAAACTTAGTATTTCTTATTGATGCCGTTTGGATGATGTACATTTAGTTCCTTTATCCAAAAGCTTTTCCGAACCTGTCGCTGGGCATCACTCCAGTGAATGTTCTGTTCAATCACCAGGATTTTCATGCGATTAAAGTCATCAAGTTTGTGACCTGATTGTCTGAAATGCTGAGAAACTGGGAGAAGTGGCTTCTTAGAGATATCACTCCTATGGCCATTGAGGCGTTTGTGGAAAGGCTGCTTTGACTCACCAACATATTGGAGGCCACAAACCGAACATTCCAGTATGTAAATAACGTTCATACTTTTGCAAGTAACATTGCAAAATATCTTATAGTTATTTTCGGTTGCCTTACTGTGAAACGTTGATGAATGCTGCATCTGTAGGCAGCATTTGCAGCGTTTTTCCTCACACGAACGACATTCTCCAGAAGCACTTCTATTATCAGACACTTCAGCACGCACTAGCAGGTTCCGCAGACTGTTGGGTTGCCTAAAAGAATGTTACTTGCAAAAGTATGAACGTTATTTACATACTGGAATGTTCGGTTTGTGCCATAGGAGTGATATCTCTAAGAAGCCACTTCTCCCAGTTTCTCAGCATTTCAGACAATCAGGTCACAAACTTGATGACTTTAATCGCATGAAAATCCTAGTGATTGAACAGAACATTCACTGGAGTGATGCCCAGCGACAGGTTCGGGAAAGCTTTTGGATAAAGGAACTAAATGTACATCATCCAAACGGCATCAATAAGAAATACTAAGCTTGTTTTTCACTCATTTTGGAATGTAAATATACACAGTCACGTATATTAGAGTATCGAGTTTTGTTTATATTATGATGTTCAAGATTATGGATTAAAATCAATAGACCAAAACTTACCTGTATTACTGATCTATTTTTAACCTTCAATCAGTATTGTTAAAATTATTGACACCGACGAAGGCTATTTGTTAAGCCGAAATATTTGTCAAAACGATTTAATAACAACATCTTCGTATAATACCATCTTATATTAGTATCGTTGTGCAAATTTTTAGACTTATTACTATATATATAATAAAATATTAATTTTCGCGAACCATTTAGGTCACAGAAATTCCAAAAAATGGCATCAGTAAGGAGAGTTGTACAAATGATGTGAATACACAGAACCCGGATCCAAATTATCTTTTACTAAAAGTATTCATCATTTTCTGTTTTGTATGTACTAACAACATTTCATTTTTCTACAATTTCGATTAAAATATTATAAAACCTGCAGTTCAATAGGTCACATGCCCCAAATAAACATTCCCCGATTGGTCGAACTACTGTGGCCTCGGTGTAAAGCAACGCAAGCCTCGATGTTAAGATCGCGCTTCCAAAAATAGAGGTATGTCCCAACTTAACATTCCCCGATTGGTTGAATTGCTGCTCGATGTAAAGCAACAGAAGCCTTGATGCAATGAAGAAAAGGGGTTGACAGGATAAACGTAATCGTTATAAATTTTAACTTCATGGTTCTTATGCAAGCAAATTTAATAAACAATGATTTTATACAGTTGTGTTATTGTTTTCACCTTACATAGGGCTTTATTTCTGATCTTATTTCTGTGTACACAATTCTGAATCTACATATTTCACCTATATCAATATTAGGTAATCCGTTTGGACGATTCCATATACTATTATGTTTTAGGGTTTTTTAGCTTCAGTGTCGAGTTGGTGTATAGTATTGAGGGCTATCTGCGAGAAATAACTCCTTTTTTCTGATAGATTAACTAAATTCAAAACCAATATAAAAATAGTTAACACATATATGTTATTTAACTGAGTAAATTGATCGGAATGAAAATGATACATAAACCTAAAATTCGTTTTGGTCTATCCCAGTAATGACATTTGCGCGGGAATTTAGTCCATTGACATCGTAATATAATTTACTATGGATTATAATTAACTTTAGATGTAATGTTACAGGATTTAATGTGAAATTATTTGTCTCTTCTTTTATAGTACACGAGTTTGACGTCAGGTTTGTACACATGAAGTCTCTAGTCTAAAAAAAAGTCAGTGACAGAACGATAAACAGATAGGCAACTGTCTAGGGCCAAGTAAGGGAGGTGAAGTGACAAGAAGACTATTTTTTTTAATTAAAATTACTGATTCAAAATAAATAATAAAAGAATATGTAAAAGAAAACAATTTTAGCGACAAGAAAGTTAATATTCTATCAATAAATAGAAAGAAAAAAATTTGAAACATAGATCTAATTGCTACATTTATTTGTGATGTTTTATTATTTATTATGTATAACAACAAGTATTACGTTTACCCTGTCGTATTATGATATTAATTTTACTTGTGTTTTAGAACAATAATATATTTATCTTATAATTTGTTTTTAAAACTCTTTGTACACTATATAATAAACTTGGAAAATGCATTATTTGTGCATCATTGTCCAGAAAATACAGACACAAATTGTGAAATACAAAGAACTGAAACTCAAACAAGAGGAAAACATAAAAGCCAGTATTACGCAGAACGATAAACAGTTACATAGACGGATCCAGGGGGTGGGGAAAATTTGGTTGATTTTAATAGGGAAGCAGGGGCGGATCCAGCCATTTTATAATAAGGGGGTTCCCAACTCGGGACAAAAAGGGGGGGGGGTCTTCCAACTATGTGTCCCCATTCAAATGCATTGATCGTCCAAAAAAGGGGGTTCCAACCCTCGGAACCCTCCCCCCGGATCCGCCACTGAGGAAGCATGACGGGAGTGGGCAACCCTTAGGTCAGTCTGCGGCCACCCCCCTTTTATGAAAAGTTGTGGATCCGCCACTGAGATTTATATAAGCAGGTTTTCTTTGTGTAGATACCTTAAAATATCACCAACTGTGACTGAGTACACAATTTGACTCATTTTAGCTCATTAGCTGGGCTCACTCGCTAAAAAGGTTCATTGCGGGCTGCTCACTGGCTAACATTTTACGATATTCATGACTCGTGTAGAAAAGCCGATAATCTATACATGTGTGTGAGGAGTAGTTATCAAGCTTGCTTTCGTCTGTAAAAACTGTCTTAGGCCAAGTTAGGGAGGTGAAAAAAACAGTAATAGAACGATAAACAGATGATCAGGTTTTCTTCATATAGATCCCTTAAAATATCCCCCACTGAGGACACAATTTGATTCATTTTAGCTCATTAGCTGCGCTCACTCGCCATAATAGGTTCATTGCGGCTTACTGGCTAATTTGTGTAGAAAAGCTGATAACCTATACATACATGTACATGTATATGGTCAGATCATATGTTTTCGTACGTCATATGAATTTGTACTATGCATGCCTTTTCAATGGAAATTGTGACGACAGTATGCATTCTTAATAGCATGAAAAACGATGAGAAGAGGATACATATGTCAACCAAAATTTTTCAGCAACGTCAAAATATGTGAGGACACCCTATCAAGATCTATTAAGCTTGCGTTCATGTTGCGTTAAAACTGTTTTAGGAAGGTGAAAAATACCAACAATATAACAATAAATAGATAATCGATATTGTAAAATATCAATGTGTTGAAAAGCCAATGATCTACATATATACTTAAATATGTCAACCATAAAATAAAACTGATTTAATTTACACCACAACTGTTGAAAAAACCTTTATGTTTATATAACTTATCTCATTCTAGTCCATTCAACTGACAGAATCGGTGTACATTTCATGAACTCTTTAATAACAATAATCATCATGGACTATTCTTTATAGCAATATCTGTTAGCCATTTAGGGGTCTTTTGCATTCAAAGTGTAGTTTTAGTGGGTTTATTTTGCGAAAAAGAACTCAATTTCCAGATCAAAGTTAACATTTTCTATATATTTTGCTGTGTCAAAATGACCTAATGAATATAAAGGACAGTACCCATATAGACCCAAAAATGGTATATCACATTCTACACATGACATTTTAGCAGGAAAGACTGCCATTGGAGTATATAACTTTTAACCTGTGTATGTATAATTAAAATATGATAATAAAATTCATATCTTTTTCAGGACTTCTGATCGAACCATGTACATGTAGTATGGCATGTTTGTGAGATATGGTTTTGGTGGATAGGATGTTCATGAAGGACCTGTAGTACAAAGTATATCACTGGATTGAGCTCTTTGTCTAAGTGTATTATTAAAGTGCTTTGCTTTTAGCTCAGTTAATTGTTATGCAATTCACTCTTTGTGAAATACAGATTTGACAGACAACTCTCATGTACAAGGATTTGTCAGGGTAGTATCCATTATATGTACAATGTAAGTAATAAGGAGATAAAAGCATTTTATTATGATTTGAACCAAACATTTTTTGTCCTTTAACCAAATTTAAATAAAAGAACAAATTTACCCGAC